ATTCACCTCACGTAGTTGTGGTGGTGGGGAAAAGAGGAAGGAGAATGGAATGGAATGGAAAGAAGAGAAAAAAGAGGAGAAGAGAAAGTGAAATAGAATAACTTCATTGACACTTTGAATGTACACTAATCTGCATACATTAAAAATAAAATTTTGTTGCATACAGCTCTCAAAGGATCACCACCTCCAACATACACTACATAACCATGTCAGAAATTAGGCATATACCCACATATATGACACACACATTTGTCGCTTTGAATTGTTTATGCAAATAATAAAGACAGTATAAAATATCAAAAAAAGGAGAATATTTGTAGCTCAGGATTGAAATGAGAGATCGTTAGTGCTCTCTGAGCTTGGTTGTTTCATTACCCAAACTAGGTAACATCAGTGCTGGTAAGGAGTGGGTCTTGCTCTCAGTTTACATTCTAGAATATAAAATACATAAATACCCTCTCTTCCCCTCTCTTCCGCTACTATCACCAGAGTGGGCTCTGCAGTACTGCAGGACAAATCCAAAGAAATCATTCTTCTGCAGGTTGTGGGGCAAGGCAACATTTCTCCCCAGCCTGCTGTACCTCCAATCTTTCCTGATGCCTGAGAATGGGGAGAGCTTGTACTTCCACAGATTTGGATGAAATGAGAGCATTGGCTAATTTAGTGACTAATTGCCACTTAGGTTTACATTCGTAATTCCTTAACAAAATGGGATGTGTATGTGGGTGGGTGATAAAAACAAACAAACAAGAGTTTGGGGAGATGCTTATATTGTTACTTTATTGAACAATTGAAATAATTGAAATTGTTGGTGTGGGTAAAGAAGAAAGGATCAATTTTGGTGGAAGCAAATGTTCTGCCGTTTCTGCAGAGGAAAGGATAGTGATGGGAATTAAATAAAAATAATGTTTATACATCAGCTTATTTTTTCCTAAATTTAAGAGATTTGCTCTCTTAAGTTTAGAGTGATCTGCTATTATTCCTTGAGCACTAAAGCAGTATTTTTCTTAAGTTCTTATTTAGAATCAATCTCTCTGGAAGCATAGTAGTGTTTACTCTCCATTGTCTGGCCATTCTGGATTTACTCTCATGTTATCAAACCAGAAAAGGAAAACATAAAGGAATTTCCATTCCTCCTTGAAGCAAACAAACACACCTCACTAAAATCAGGGTGCTCTTGTGCTAGGAAGACTCTCCTATATTCTTGGCATCTTTCTGCAGAAAAGATTGGAATAAATCTGATGTGATTCATTGACTTTTATTCATGCAGTTTGTTTTTATCCACTGTATTTTGAGAATAACTTCCAAATGGTGTTGCTGTTTCCTGTGCATAAAACCGTGTGCTGATAATAAACAATTGGTATTCTGCAGTGTAATTCTATGACTATTTATTCTTATGCACTTGATTAGATATAAAAAAGGCTGTAACCTAAGGAAGATTTCATTCTTTTCCAGGTGTTGATGCTTAAGGATATTTGTTGAGCAGGTATAAAAGGGATTTAAAATACATGCCTTATGAAGTAAGAAGTAAAAGGATTCAGGTTTCAGCAGAACAGCTTTACACTCAGTATCACAAAAAGCATGGCAAAACCAGTTAGTCAGGGACGTAAAACTGGAAATAGCGCAAAGAAATTGATATACAGGTAGTTCTTGACTTACATCANGCACAAATAGTCCAGTTCATTCTAGCACATTAATCACATCAATCCAAAACCTTATCTGTAATTACCGTCAAAGAAGATCAAGAAAAAAAAATCAAGTTAGTTAACATGAAAAATGATTTTTAACATAAATTAAAATAGTTAAATATGCTATTCCTAGTAGCCTTTTTCAACTTGAAAAGTGTTTGGTTTCAGTTCTTATATAACTTCAACTGGTTGACAATTATGAGAATTGATATAAACTGTATTTGCAAAGGGTAACTTTTTGTTTCAGATGTTATCTAAATGTTAATATATACATCGTGACAGCCCTAGCCTCAGGAATTGTTCCAAGCAGAACTTTTGGATTAAGTGCGGAGTAAGGATATCATGTAAGCACTTGCTTTTGATAATTTTCAAATTCTTCCATTACCTGCAGTGCTACGTGAAGTGTTAATTTACAGGGATTTTAATTCCGAATTCTTGTGTTGTATAGACTAAGAAGAAACCACTCCTAGGCATGTGAAGTAGTTTTTTTTCCCCATCAGAAAGTATTCTATCCCCCCCAATTAAAATAATGTTTCTTAGGTAAAAGGCATGAAATATTCTGGGAGGCCTGGTATAGAGTCTCGTGCCTTTAAAGACCACCTATCTCCAATAATATCAAATCAGGTCATTCAATCCTGAAAGGTTGGTGTACTCCAGGGGTGTCAAACTCACATCATCACATGACATATTGGGACTTTTTCCCCCTTCACTAAACAGGGTGGGGACAGTATGTGACACATCCGGCCCACAAGTCACGGGTTTAATACCACTGGTGTACTCAGAGTTCCTTTGATTAAATACTATCAACTTTCAGTACTCCAGAAGCACACCTTCTCTGTAAGTAAGATTCCCCTCAGGAGTCTTACTGGATAGCTCTTTCTTTTGTCCTGTTTAGAAGAACAGTCAAAACCTGGCTCTTCAAACAGGCCTTCAGCAAGGGAGAATGAGATTTCTTGCTTCAACAAGCTTGCCATTGGTTTATTTGCTGCATTTTATTGATATTGTAATGTGCTTGATTGTTGGGTGTCCCCCAGAGTGGTCGAGAGTCAGGCTGCCTGAAAGTTTAATAATGTAACACATTCATAGAACATTATGCCACCGTTTGCTTAATTTCCCTTTCTTGAAAGTTATGTAATAACTTGAAAGTAATGACAGTTACACCGGTTCACTGGTTCACCCTCTGCCTGAGCTGTAAAGAGTTTAAAACTTCTCTTATCTCTCTGCTGCTAATGCTGGCGCCTCATGTTTGGAAGACAGATACAGCCCTCATTCATATAACCTGGGGAGAAACAAACCCACTTTGCCCCCAGGTACGTTGCGGGAATCTGATCAAACTCCTCCTGACTTGATGCACCTTCGGAATTTGCCACCGTTGCAAAGGACGCTGTCCCAGGTTTAGGTGATTTGCCCGCTTTAGGGCCCAAGAGGCACGAGCAGCGACTCACTTAGACTTTCATCGGACTGCAAGGGTATAAGGAGGGCAGCGCTGGCCGCTCATCCAGACTATGTGCAAGGCAAAGTCCCTCCTCTTCTCTGCTCGCCCGCCTCACCTGTTCAGAGGGCAATTCCAGCGCGTGTTGCTGCTGCTGCTGCTGCTGTCTCACCGGCGTCCCAGACCGACAGCTCCTGTTCAGGTGAACACAGAAGGCCCCTCGCAGGAGCAAACCCCGGCGCCCGCGTTGAGATACCCTGAGAGCTGACAAGGATGCCATCCTCCTGCCTTAAGCGAAGCCGCTTTCCCTACAACCTCTCCAATAGGGGCCACAGCAGAAGTAGCCGGCTGGAGTCATGTGTGCCGAGAGGGAGGGGAACCGGCGACCAATAGGGGTCGAGGCATCCGCTCGGCATGCCGGGATTTGTATTCCGCTCAGGCCTTCGCAGCAATTCGTTGCGCAATTTTCGAGTTGGACTAGCGGTTGCTCAACTGGTATCAGCAACCGCTCCCCAGTTTTCTTTCCAGGACCTCCAAGATAAGGGGGCGGCGAAGAGCTGCAGGCTTCCCTGGCTCTCGGCCAACTTTTTCTTGCAGAAGCTTATCTGAAACCAAAGGAGGAGGAGAAGAAAAGGGGGAAGGGAAATGGGCGGGGGCATTGTTCTTAGTTTTGGAAGAGCATGTTTTATTACACACATAGACACACACACTCATTTATATATGGGGACCGATAACCGGGATTAAGTTTTTGAACGTTCTTAAACCCCGAATGTTTGTTTTCGGAAAGGCGAGGGAGGATAGCGTTAGCCAAGCAATCTTGCCACCGCCAGTATAGTGCAAGTTAAACACCAGTCCTTCTGTGGGACTGTCCCGTTTGGATCCATGATTCCTGCGAGCTGGTATTGATAGCGTGAAGTTAAANACTTATGGTAACAGAGTTGTCAATGCCTGAAATGCCCTACCTGTCACTGCAGGTTTCTTCCCCAAACCCCCAAAACTTTAACCTTAGACTGTCTACTGTCGACCTCACCCCATTCCTAAGAGGTCTCTAAGGGGCGTGCACCAGCGTGCCTAATGTCCCTGTCCTAATAGTCCCTTGTATTCATAGCCATTTATATACATATACCTGTTATCTAATTCATGCTTGATGAAATAAATAAATAAAATCAAAATAAAATAAATAGAATGTTCATGTCTTTGAATGTCCACTGTTTTGCTCACATGCTTCATCTAATTTCCTCAGATGGTGGAAAGGGTTCCAGAAAACTAGCCATTGCTGGTAATGTGGACCACCTAGTAGTAATTATGCAAAACTGCAAAGCAAGAAAAATGACAAATTGCTGTGGGAGAAACTGGTGATGACCTCTCACAGGACTGTTTTGGGAAGGGCAGATGGAAAGTTTTGCTTTGGCCAGTTTCCCAGGTCTGGAAACTGCAATACTGCAGTGGTTGAGTAGGAATATCAGAATGATATTAGTTGGCAAGTAACCCTCATCCAAAGGGTACATTATATGTGAGAAACGCTCCCTGAAACCATAGCTAGATAGTCAGGACTATCCAAGAGATTCACAATTGGCCACAGGCAATGGTGAAAAGGGAGGCCCTAATCTCACTAGCTGGGCCGGCAAAGCCCTAATTTTTCAGAGGAAGGCAGAGTGACATTCCTAGTTTGATGGACAATAAAGAAGAATTGCCAGCACCAGCCTGAGGAAAATGATCAGCATTCAATGATTTTCCTCACTCATCTGCAGCCTAATGTAGCATGATCTGATCATGGCTGCTTGTTGTGTGTGTCTACCAACCAGCATTCCAAGAGAGAGGTTGTTCAGCAGATCAAGTAACATTCTAAGTTGTTGGAAATCAGCCCTTCTCTTCAGGTTTACTCTGCTGCTGTCTTTGGAAACAGAACTAAAATGCAAATACTAGATCTTTGTCACGACATTTGCAGTTTCTGAGAATATTGATTTGTTTTGAAGCAGGAAAACAAGGGCTGTTTTTCCCCCTGTGTCAGTTGCATCTCTCTCTTACACAAACACACTTTTTGCATGCAGCACAGTTACTTGTCTTTCTCCTCAGTCCCTTTGCCAGCCTGCCTTATTTGCCAGTCAGAGAGTTCTGCAACAACCTGATCCAGCCAGCCAGCTGGCCTCTGTCTTGGTGCCAGCTCTGTGCCATGATGACCCAGCTGAGTCTGTTGACCACATTTGCCACTTATTACTTTTGCTTTATCTCCCGGGCAGCTCTACTAGAGCTTGCCTCTTCTGCTAAAAGCAGTTGCTCTAGTTCTGCTAGTCTGCTTATCAGCAGATCTGCACTCTCTTCAAGATGGTTAAAGCTCTGCCATATAAGTCATATCCTGGGAGTTTACCTCATTTTGAGGCCTGTTATGGGACATCCTTCTGCAACAACCTTATATAGGTTTTTGCTTGCCAGGTCTAAAAATGGTATGCTATGACTGACAATGAAGAAAGTAAATACTTCTGGGGCAGAAAAATACATTATAATCTGTGTGGTTGAATTTTTCAAATTGAATCTCAAGAAGAAATACCTTGCACCTGACTTTGGGAACACTAAATCAAATTAAGCACAAATTTCCAATTTGAATCATATCATATTACATTTGATAAATAAAATAGGAAGGCTATTTGATTTGGTCCTTCAGCATCAACTTTATCCTCAACTAATGAATCAAAATGATAACAAACATTAGTTGGAGAATTGTTTTTATCTCTTCATAAATAGAATATTTCTTTTAAAAATAGAACAATAAAAGTGCAACTTTTGAATAGTTGTACTTTGCATACAATGAATATTCTCTCATTTTCCTCTCCATGTACCTCTGACCAACTTTTTAATTTTTTTACACAATTTATCATTTTAGGTCCATAAACTATTGATCAGGTTTTCATTTTCAGCAACCAAGGGAACTAAGTGTTCTTTGCATCTAGCATATTCATTGAAATTGCTTTTTTCCTCTCTCAAGCAACCAATATTTCCCCTTCTTTGACAAAACTCCCTATTTACCTGAATAGGATTTGGACTGTGTTACATTTATTTATCCACATGTGATCCCACAACTACCTAGGTGTGTAATATTTTCATTCAAAATATTGCTATTTCTGGGGAAACATGCTGCTAATATATGGGGAAATAGTTCCTATTTGAAGAATTTGACACTTTATATTAATATAGTCATATTGCAGTAATTTCTGTTTATGAACCGAAACTGCATTGCTTGGATATTGAGAACTTGAATTGTTCTGATGCTATTGTATCCTGTTGTTAAAAGTGTAGTCACAAAAGGGAGAAGAATTTTTGTTCTTTTTATGTAAACTACCAAGCACTGAACATTCAGAAATTCATATCTTGATATGCTTAATAAAGATGGCCAGACACAATCTTTGCCTATCAGAATGGTTTTCTTAAAGAAGTCTAATTGTGTTTCTTGATATTTAGCCATTTCACATATTTATCTTTTTAAATGCATTTTCAGGGCTCAGTGAATACAGTTATACTCCTAAATTTTGTTTTGAACTTGGGGTGATGGAGAATCTTCCTGCTATATTATTTTAGGTTTTTGTAAGATCATTCTGCTTCACCTCTGGTTTTTCTTTCAAGACGAATGCCCATTTTTTCTTATATTTCTTTCAGCTGGCTTGCTGGCTTCCTATTCTCAGTCATATAGCACCACCAGCTTTACAAAGGCAAGATGCATCAGTGAGAGAATAAAGAAAAATTATGAACAACTCATTCCAACTAATATATACCAATGTTCCTCATTTATCAGCTGGAAGGCTCAAATCTAGGAAGTCCCCACTGGCACTTATACAACATCTGCTCAACAACTTTAACATAAATTTACAATGGAAAGCCAAATGAGTTGCTGAACATTCAGACATAGGAAGACATATATAAATCATCACCAACTTCTTTTAATGATCCCTTAGGAAGACATATATAAATGATCCCACAAAAAAGTTGCCAGGCTTTGAACTACATCAGCCATAGACAATCCTGAATAGGATCTTCACCTCACATGACATCTGTTGGAACTCACTGTATAAATATGGCACAGTATCCTCCTTTCAAGGGACCCCTTCCTTGTGGGGTCCCAAGTCAAACTTAAGATCATATCATGACTGGCTGTAACCTGAGAGCATATATACCAGTCCAGTATCTGATTATTTTCATATAATTGATGCTGCGCTTCAGGGGTTAGATGGCCCAGGGCTAGGCATTGATACCCAAATACAGAGCTTTTCAACATTCATATTATATGGTGCTTTTTAAAAATCTTAACAAAATGTTAATATGTATTGCAAGTTCATGTATAATTTGCCAAATGCTAAATGAATCTTTGTGTTTTTGGCAATTCCTCTTGGTCATGCTTGCTCATGCTTTAATCCCAGCAAAACACTGTAGAATTTACATTAGGCATACTATCCCTCATTATCAAATGTGCTTCCTGCTTCTTCTATTTGGTTGTTTCAATGCTTTCTCAAAAAGAAAGGAACCCTTTCATTCTGGTTTGAATTTTCCACGATGCTCTTTCCCTCTGTTTCCCCAACTAATATTTTCTCAAGTTTGTCATTCCTTTGAATTCCATTTGTATTCCCAGCTGTGAGGCACATGTTTGAAGCTCTGGCACTTAAAGTTTTTCACATGTTGGTGGAAGCCAGGAAGAAAGAAGAATTAAACCTCAAAGCTAGAGTTTAAGTACACAACAGCATTTTTAGAATCATAAAACAATCAAGGTTGATCCAGATTTTGTTGCCTCTGGATAGCCTATCATTCCTATGGAGATGCTAGCCATAGTGATAGTTGAGTCTTTCATTTACAATGGTGTCAGGGCAGCATCTTTCATCACACTGACGGGATAGTGTCATCATAATAAATTCAGTGTGTGGGTACACAAAACTCTTTATGCATCATATCTGTACATACTGTCTCATTGCCCACTCAAATCAATGATGTCATTGCAGCTGCATCAACAAGATGTATCCTGTAAACAGAACCATACATTGTCATGTGCAAAGACAACTGAAATGTATAACTAGATTGGCACCAATGCTAGTTTGCGCATATATAGCACTGTCCAGCCAGCTAGTTCATTAACAAGTAAACATGCTTCTTAAGACGGCATCAAAATTTTATTCAGGTTACCACAATTTTATTAAAAACTTATCAAAGTTTGCAACCGTCTTCATTAAAAAGGAATTGAAGAAAGCTTTCCTCTACCTTGCATAACACCTTGTCATTTATAAGTGAGTGAAGCAGGTTTGATCCATGAGTACTTTGATTGCTGTAATCTTAAAAGGATATTCCCAGCTCATTACTTTAACATCAG